AAATACTCTTCTTTTCCTCCAAGAAAAGTTAAAATTACTGTTTGAAAATAATCAGTGGAGAAATCTCACTGAGCTTCATTTTCACTTTTGCTTCCAAATTCCTCCTAAAGAAAATTCTGTTGAGTAATCAGTTCAAATGTAAAACTTCTTACTGTGATGTTGCATAGCAGTACAGTTCATAATTTTTTTACCTGACTTACTTATGGGGTTTTACGTAGGCTGTGCATTAAAATCTCCTCAGTGACATAATACTGATTTACTGTTGGTGTTGGGATTTTTTTTTTTTGTCGGTCCTTTGATTTAACTTCAACCTTTCATTGCTTTTGTGATACAAAATATCTTCCCTATATTGCCACTCTGGTGGGTACTTGTGGTAATTTCCAGTTTAATGTGCTGGAAAGTTTGGAAATGAGATACAGGCATGTAATGATGTCTCCACCTGAAAGATGACTGTTTAGACAGCATAAGATAGCATGTACAGCTTTTATTCAAATTCCCACAAGATGTTTGAATTCAAGCGCCATTCCTGAGACTGGAACAGTTAATAAAGGCATTCTTAAACAAAAATTCCTTGAGCAACAGTAAGTCCAGAAGTAAAGTCTATAAAAGGCACTCAGACAACCTCTTTGCAATGGTAAACCACATTTAATGACAGTGTAATTCTCAGTAACTTGAAGATATGGTATCTGAAAAGGCATAGCTTTCCATTGCTGCAGTGCCGATAAATCCCCATGAGTTCACTGTTCATCCCAAAGCTAAAGTGCTGTAACTTTCTTTGAAGTCCCCAAAAAGATACAAAAAGTGCAAATTATGACATGTGAGATGAAGAGTTTTCACAGAACCACACTCCCACTGTCTCTCGAAGCTGTGACAGTTGACATGTATAAAGCCTCAGTTTGAGAGTTAAAATCATCTCCTTAAAGAAAGAAAATGCAATAGTGTTATTTTAAAAATCTGTGATAATTTAAGCAAATAAATAGCCTGATTTTAACAACTGAGTGGTAAAGAGTGAAAGCTCTGTCTTCATCGTATGCAAGCTTTTCAGGTCCACGCCAAAGTTACAGTGTTTCCTTAAAGCTGCCATTAATTACAAAGACATCCTGTTGCAATCTTTTCGAAGGGAAGAAATATCTCTCTCTCTTCTCTGTGGTCCAAATTCTGAATTTTCTGTTATGTCAAAGCTATCACTGACTATCAGCCATATAAATGAAATAACAAAACTGAAATCTGGTTAGGTAGCATACACAGGAATCTGTGCATCTGAATAAAAGTTTGCAGAACTGGGACTTCAGTGATGAGGTCAAACGTCCTACATCTTCCATGCTGATACAGCTTGAGCTGTAAGTTAAAATGATAACATGAACAATCCTTGTTCCTGTAACCAGGGCCATGTGGGTCATTTCCAAGGCTCTCTGGTAAAGTGTCTGTGGCTTTTATGCTTCAACTACCTACTCATCATGGAAAAAAGGTTCTTTCCAGTGTTTCTTAAAAATATATGATGCTGAGAAATATAAATGTTTGTCATATGACTTACTGCATGTGGCAAAAAGATTTTCGGTCATTAAAATGAAGAAGTAAAACAAAACCACAAAAAGCAGCTACATCTCCTTTAATTTCTTCATTTCAGTAAGTGCACAGAGGAGGCTCACGCCTACAAACTGAAAAGTTCTACAACAGTAATACAAAAAGCAATGGGAAGCCACCCTGTGCTCAGACAGCGTGCACTGGAATTATGTCCGGACATGCACCATTGCTGTCCTCCACATTGCTGCTTGCCTTGAGCTTTTGTTCGTTTGCACATGGCATAATGCCACCAAAGTATCACACCATGATGTGAAAAATAAGAAAGGCCCTTTGACTACAGCAAGTGTTGATTTTTGAAAGGTGAAAGTGTTTTTCTGAAAGTGTCATTTTGACTGTAATATCTACTGATGGCAGTGGATTGGACAGATATGGTTAAGATGCAAGGACTACCATCTGAGGTGGTATGAGAATCAGAATTCATGCATTCTCCATCCAATCCCTAGTTTTCCTTTCACCTGCAGAAGTTATTTTTTAAGCTGGTGACTTCTTGATGTGTTTGGGGTTTTTTTAGCAGTAAGAAATACAGGTGGCTTCTGAAGTAAATCCTGTCCTTGGAAAAGGCCAAAGCTCCCTATGTGTCCAGAAACTATGTATTGTTTCTTCAGGACACTCGGTCAGCTGCATCACAGTTTTGCTCTGATTTTGCTCCTTGGGGGAGAATAATTTGTATCCCTGGAGCACATTAGGAAGTCTCAGGCCTGGCCTCAATAGGCTGCGTTAGGGTCTGCTTGGGCAGCAAGGAATTACAGCCGAACCCAAACCACCGTACCTCATACTGGCCACAGCCTCTCTCCTGACAATACATTAGCCTATCAGACTTCTATTTATAGGTAACAATACTGGTAAGTAGGTATTTTAAGAGCTTTCGTATCATATTGCTTTATAGTTTTCTATGGTGGTTTCTTGTCTTCAGTACAATATTAGTACAGGACAGTTATATGCATCCTGATAACTTCTTGAGGCATTACCTTCCCTCTGCAATGTAAAAATTCTTAGATACCTAGGAAAGTCGCATACTCGTAAGATGAGAAGTGGCTCAGTCGATGATCTAATATTCCAGATAAATGAGGCATCATTATTTGTTGTTAAAACCTGTGGCCTAAGCCAAAAGTATAACAGACTACTACCACAAAAATCTTGGTGCCTTCCAAGACAACCAGCTTTCTGTGTGTATCCTACTCAGCTGAGGCTACTAGAACTGCAGTTAGTACGCAGACGTGTATACCGAGCTATGTATGGAAGCTATCTGTACCTCAGTGAAAGGTAACAAACGTTTATAAACTTTTACATTGGCTGTGAGAAAGTCATAAGCTTAGATACTGCATTTTTAGAAAACTGAAGAAAATATGTATTTAATTTCAAAACTAGCCTCTATTTTGATGTAACATTATTTAAGTTGCCATCTACAGATTTATAAAGATTTTAGCTGTAAGAAAGAAAAAGCTGCAAGCATAAATATAGAAAACCCTATGACTTACTGTTCTCATCTTTCATGTTAGGGTCCAGTTTTCTTTTTCTGTCTGTTAAAGTAAATACATACAAATTTAGCTTAGATTTGAAAGAAACAATACAATTCAGCATCCTTTTAGATTAAACTGAGCTTTAAGCACATCTAAATTTATTATATTTCATAACAAATACATAAATTTCTCTACACTTCTTTTCTTTTACAAAATTTGAACGAAATTCTGAAGTCCTTAATAGCAAAACTTCCATTTCATGACAATAAATACATTTTTCTGAGTTTACTGGAGTCTATTCATATGCAAGAAAAGACTAGAATAATAGCCTGTTTGCTTTATTACTTTTCCACTATTGCACTTGCAAAGAAAGAAAGAAACACTATTTGTAATATTCTGTAAAGCATACCATTTTAGTTATACAGCCTTAATGTAAAAAATAAAAGTTCTGTGTCGTATGCTGTAGCTACAATGTCTTTGTAGCCATGAAGAAAAACACCATTCATAGTGTGTTTTTACAGCCTTCCTTACCCAAGCCAAAGCTTGTTTGTGTTCTTTGCAGAATAGTAGCTGGTGAGATTAAAAGATATACCTTCCCATATACCTTGTCTCACGTAAGTAACAAGGTGAGGAAAATAGAACCCAATACAAATGAGCCAAGTTCTCATGTTAGAACAGGGCACATCTAGAAATAAAATGTGACAAAATTCACACAAGCGTGCCTGGAGTTACTGAAATTTCCAGAAGGTCATTCACAGGCAAAATAATAAATGAAAAGATCCACTATCTGAAGTAAAATGTACCTTTTCTGGGTTGCTCATTCTTGAGTGATTTTCTTTTTTGAAAGATTATTAGTGCAGAGGAAAGGACAGCTACCATCACACACATGGGGACGATAAATAAGATCAGGGATTTTTGTCCGCTATACTGGTTACTCATTAAAGCTGTCAAAAAACATGAAAAGAATGTAAATTTATAACCTACAAAACAGGCTTCATTTAAGAAACTATCAGTTCTGATTCTCCACAGACTTGCTCTGGCTGAATAAAAGATTCTTAAAATTTATCAACGTGGTGTTTTACACTCATTTTATGAATACTTTGTTCTGCAGTATTACCATAAGAAGCTTTACAAAGAACGAGTCAAATCTCTCATTTGTATGGCATTTGAGTGAGCACTACTGCAATTTATCTATATCCCATTTGAAGAATGATAGGAGTCTAGATGAGGGAAGACACCCACGCGGATTAAAGAATTTCCTCTGTCCTGGTAGTCAAATAATGGGAGCTACCTAAAGTTAACATGTACAGAGAAATGACAGACTGGCTTGTTGGAGTGTGAGCTAGCTGAGGCTTCAAAGGCATAAGTAACACTGACTTTTTTTGTTTTCCAGAGCACCAATATGGCACTGTTTTCTAGAATGGAATTCCGGTGTCAGATCATAGGACACAATGTATGTTCAAACACTCAGCGTCTTGTACAAGTTCACGTTAATACGAACCTAAAGTGGAAATGTGAGCTGAAGTTTTTCCGTTCAGTTCTTTATTCCAGAACACACAGCTGTAATTCTCACTAATGTTTGGTTTGAACGTCAGGATGCTGGTGACATTATAGAGGCCGTCTGCAGTCAGTGTATAGGTGGTATTTGCAGATCCACTGAGATTGAAGTTCTCATTTTGCCAGAAAACCTCTGCCAGAGGAAAGCCTTCCGACTGGCACATTAAAACAACCTTGTCTTCACCTGGTTTTCTCATTACTTGAGTGTTTATTCTCTTGTAAGATGCTGCATAAGAAATAGAGTGAAATTACGTTATGCAACAATAGCCATTTTCCCACTTCACTTTCCCCTCCTTCCCTTTAATGCCATATTTTTTCTATGGCTGTGTCTGAGGTACACTTATGTGAAATAATGAAGGATGTTTTGTAGAATAATTCAATGTTCATTATTCGATCCTTCTGATGCCTACAGTGACAGAACTTACTCCCCTACTTTTTACAAGGCAGCAGTTGACACTGAATTTATAATTTATCAGTACAGAGGAAACAAGTGAAGTCTCATGGGACTCTATTTTCACTTTTTGAATATGCCACTTCAAGAAAAAGGCTGTTTTTAATGTTTGTTTTGCCATAGCTTATAGACAAGTGTGGTATTTTCATCATATTAGAGCAAAATGAACTTAGCATTTCTGTGAGGACAGTTCAGAGGGACCAATGTGGGTCTTTGAAATGGCTGTGTGCATTTTTGCATTTCACAAAGATCATTATTTAAATGCCTGGGCAGGAAATGAATGCTGCCTTGTATCACATGGACATACTGCAGTTAGTGGGAAAAAACAGAGGCTTTTCAAAGGACTGTTCTATCATGCTATCCAGTAATGTGCGCCTTTATTACTAATGTCCATTTGGCCTTGACAAACACAGAAAATCACATGTCCTCTCTCTGGGAGCTGCAGTCACTTGGGGAATTCCCAGCCACACGGGTAGTTGCAGCAGGTCTCCTAAGTAAATTGAAGCACCTCTGAGAAACTTTTGGGAACGGCCAGAGGTGGCCCAAAAGGGCAGGGGGTCAAATTAGAGGTGGGGGGTGAGGGCACTAGAGAAGAGGGTGTGGGAAGAAGCAGGAGGGATGAAGGACGGAGGGCGAGCAGTTGCTCCCTCTCTCTGGCACAGGCTGCTCCTAGAGACACTCAGCTGGACACTGAAATGAAGGCTAGCCAACACTAAGAGAACTGCTTTGGTTCACCTGGGGGCTGAGCACAGGGTTTTGGTGAGAGAATTAGCAACAAATTCCTCAAAATTAATCAATTTCTACAAGCCTGTGGGAATTTAGTAGAGGCCTCTCAATTAATATATACTTCCATTCAATTCAGCCACTAACCTTTTACTTCCAAAGTAATGTACTTGTAGTCCACGCCCTGGTAGTCAATGAGACAAAGGTATGATCCCGCGTCTGTGATCTTCACGCTGGTGATCTGGAGGATAGCTCGTCCCAATTTCAGTTCACTGTGCAGAAGTGCTGCTCTTCCTATGTAATCATGGTGTTGGGATGGAGCAAACGCCTTCCCATTGCGGAGTGTGTAAACCCCTTTTGATTTCAACTGGCCCTGCCTTTTTTGCTCCCAAACAACAGTTAGGAGTCCTAGGTTTAATGAGCCATTCACAGGGAATCTGCATTCCATGGTCACGTTGCTCCCATACTCCACAACGTATAGCTGTTGAGGAACTTCAACTGTAAACAAAGCTACGGCAGGAAAAGAGAACAGTTTCATTTGTTGTATTAAAATACATTCTGGTTTTCTTTAAACTTGGGCAAAAAGGTGTCATGTAGTCAGGCATATGGTTACTGGCTTGACTTAAAGTTTTAAGCATTTTGTGACCCTATTCAGACTAAAATTTTTGCCATGCCAATTGTATGTATTGTAAATCATCTATATACTTTATTGATTACGGAGTCTGAAAGACAAGGACAAAATAAGCAATTTTCACATTTTAGAAATAGCTTAAGGCTGAGTCAGTGATTACCCAGGGAGCACTTCTATGAAACTATGATTGTATCTTGTATGTCCTAGGATTCTAGTAAAAGCAACAGTTAATTTTGAAAATAGTAAATCTGATTTCATTACACTTTACAAAGAGAAAATCCAGTGTAACTCCTGGGAAACAAATAGAGTTGCACTGGATAAACATATGTAATTGGAAGAATTGCTATGTACGAATTACAGTCTTCCACAAGCCTGGGACCATGTGAGTATCATTTGATGCCATGCGTCTTCTCAGATAAATGCAACAGTGTCACAGAAAGTATATCAAAATAATCTTCTTAGCCATTCACCAAATCTGAAATTCATATTTTTATGAATATTTTGCCATTTTAAAGTGTCTTGATAAAGGAGAGTTATTTATGATACATCATTAAATACACCTTGTTACTACTTTCTATATTGGATGAACCACATATTGGCAGATTTAATTCAGAAGCACTTGGAAATATTGATAATGACATTCAAGTGAGTTTATGCATTGCTTTTACTTCATGTATTTGTGAAATACTTACAGGGAAAGCTTCAATTCCTTTTAACAATGTTTGTTTATTCACTCTAATACAACTGTAGTGAGGGAAAAAAATAATATGAAAAAGTGCCAAGCCCTTTCTGGGTTTTAGCCAAGCTGCTCCTGCTACAGGCATGGGCATGGGCACGTGGCTTTACTTCACTCTGCCTCACACTGAGGTTGTTTAATTTACAGCTGGCTTAGGTTGCTTTGGTCATCCTTCCTCTCACAGCTATGCCTGCTAGTGCTGGGCCCCTCAGCTGCCAATACACCACACTTTAAAGAAGCCCAGTTGTGGAAACTGACGGACATCTGTCATGTGCTTGATTAGTACACAGTGCCTTTTGTAAGATGTTGCAAAGCAGAGGCTCCAGACATCACTGGCTGTTCATCCAAGTATCACTGGAGGTGCTGAAGCCCATGTACTGAGGGTGTCACGGTATTTGCTCCATTGGTTCTGCTAGTGGAATTGAAAGGCAGTTTCTCTCTCACCTGAAACCACATAGAGCTGCGTTTCCAGCAGCAGCATTGTGAGGATCTGGAACATTTTCTTAGGTGGATCTGAAACAAAAGGATGATTGCATTGGAACTTGCAACAACCATCTTTTTCTGCTGAAATGGATTAGAGCCATAGTAGCCTTCAAAGCCCATCGCAGCTAAAAATCGGCAAAAATAAAAACAAACACTAGACCACCACTAGAAACAAGGAAAATCACGATTAAAACAATCCGTACACACAAATGGAATGTCAAAACTGACCTGTGGTGATGAAAGGAAAGAAAACATTTCCACAACTTCACCTGTGAGGCTTTCAGGATCTGTAGCTTGCAGGCAGTCTTAAATAGTCTGACAGGGCAGTGCTTTTACAACAGCTGCTCTTTGGAACTCTGAGAGCTTCATAAACATGCAAAAGCAGACTTTTTACCTGCGTGCACTATCTAGTTCACAAGGTCACTAACCCCGATTTTGTTTCAACTCTGCTTTGCATACTTCTTTGAGGATACTTACCGTCTAACTTCTTTACCCTCAAGACCAGCAGATACCTGGAACTTCGTGTGAGGTACTGGAAGTCTTGGGGTGGGCAAGTTAAAGTCTGCTTCATAATAGATCAGGTTTTAAGACTTAGTGCTGCTAATTCTTTCACTTTGCATGTGGCCATGCCCAACATGTACAAAGTACCTTGTATTACTGACAGTAAACCAACAGCCCTGAAATAATGCAAAAGGAGAAAGTCCAGTTTTAGAGTATCTTCCTGTTCCAGTAACAAGTGACTATTGGTCATAACTTTGTCTACACGTCAACATACCTAAAAAGCAAAAAAAACCCCAAAACCAGGGACGTTTATAACAAAATTCATGAGATAATAGATAAGACGAAAGAATTACTTTGCATAAAACATAGTATAATCTGAAAAAATAGTGAAGGAGATCCAGAAATAGGCATAAGGAAGTAAAGAAGGGAAGGAGCAATTTTAGACTTCCCCAGAGCTAGACTTGCTGGAGAGGGTTTTTAATTTTACTTCCCCATTCATTTGTGGCTCAGCTTGAAACATTCTGGCTGTGATTTTCTCAGGTGCTGCATTTTTCTGATTGCTTCCACCTTTGAGTTCTCACTACCTCAGAAAGTCAGGCTCAAGCTTTGTCGAAGTTAGCAGCCAAAATTAGAGGACTTTTCCTGGAAATTTAGACCTTCATCTTTTTATGTCATAGATGAAGGTGGCCTTTATATTACCATAAAGGTGGATGTGCAAACTACAGCGAGAAGACTTACTACATGTAAATGAAAGCTAATTACTTTTATCAGAGGAGTGACTGAGATGCCACTGCTTAACGTCTGATAAATCTTAATTGTTTTAGCTGTATGAGAAAGGAGCTAATAAACAATATCAGCATCAATATTTCCATTTCTCGGACGCAGAAACAAAGATCCTGTGCTGCCCTAACAGCTGGGTTAAGTTTCACCCGTTATGTAGCCACCACAGTGTTTCACAGTTAATACTATAAAGAAATTTACTGTCCTCAGTCTCCTACTGTGCTCACTTTTCCACACAGCCTACCCAGAAACAGGTGGACATACAGCGAAGAACTGGATGAATAATAGAACAGTATTTCACATCAATGTTTAGATCCCTGGATTAGCCTCATGTGGGATGTTAGCGGTGATCTGCTCTCTTTTTATAGCTTGGGGTACACTGAGAATACAGAGCATGTGTCTTGCATAATGTAGGGGATGGGACTTTTAAAATATACATATTAGTGATAGTAAAAGGATGGAACAAAAATAAGGGAATACATAATCAAAGCCCCAGCAGAAAACAATCATAATTATTAAATATCAAAGAAGAGTAAATCTTGCATGATCAGATGGATTAGTGTGAGAAGAACATGACACACGTCAGAAATAAGTAGAAGAACCACACAGTGAAACATTTTCACTTGTGATACTGAAAGCAGAGTCAGAGAATGCTTGTGGGATTCAGCAAGGATCTGTATTAGAATGGTGGAGGATCTACCAGCAAGGATCTGTATTAGAAGTATCAAGAAATTATCAGCAAGGATCTGTATTAGAAACCATTCTTCTTTATTTCCATGATCTTACTAGTGGACATCAATCTGTCACACAACCTCAGTGCAGTCTACCCATGCAACTCAATCATGTGGCTCTGCTCAGGCATCCTGACGCATTTCCATGAAGAGGCCTGCACGAACATCTGGAAGGTGATTTCTTCTAAGCTTGCAGTACCAACCATTCATGCTGTTTCAGAATAGCCCTCATTTTCTCCCTATCTGCTGTAAAACATATGCCATGCCCTGCTATGCAGCAGTCCGTGTACACCACAATCCTAACAACTTTGTGCACAGCACTGTCTCTTTTTCCCGTTAAGCAAAAGGCCATTTCTAAAGCATATTCATCATCTGTCTGTTACAACTTCATAGGGATATAACAAAGGAACACTGCGCCATAGAAATCAGCACTTAGTGGTTCTGGCAGCAAAGTCAGGAATTGAAATCCACATCTGAGAACATGAGGAAGTCGCATGACATTTCAACAGCAATTCAGATCTTGTCAGTAAATTAATTTCCCAGACCAACCTGCAGAAGAAAAAGCAAGTTTTCACACAGTGCTGTGTGATTATGAAAATGAAGCTGAAAAAACTTTTGAGGGTTGAGGTGATAGCATCAGATGTGTAAAAACCATCATAGCTTTTTATGAGTTGTAATAGTTGCAATGACGATGTACGGCCCAAGACTGAAAATTTGAATGGGAACAATGAAAAGAAAGGCATGACAATATGAATGGAAAAAGGGAGGAATATAATCTTCACTTTTTACGCAGCTTTTTTATTTTACTGATAGTACTAAATTGAAACCCATACTTGACTCTCTTTGGCCCAAATGGAACATATTCTGGTAAGTTTTCTTAGTGAATACTGAGTGAACTCCAGAGGGCAATGATAATAAGTTGCTAAAATTCCACCAAAGGTAAAAACTACACTATGTATAGTTTTCCCTGGCTCCAGCTCACATATCCACAGGGATTATAACACACATCTCCAAAAAATGGTAATTCTTGGCCAATGGAATGCAGCAGTTCACATAAAATCTCAAGTGGTTCACCAAAATTCTCCTGGTGAGGAGTGCGGAAGATGTTTCTGGTTCCCTTAGAAAATCTGGACTTGGCATTCCCATTTCAAACTGTACAAGCTGTATGCTCCAGGCCACAATATTGTTTCAGCATATTATTAAATTTTCAACATAAAGTATAGACTTACTTCAGTTCTACAGACAGAAGTGAAGAAGTGCTTGTCCTAACAGAGCTGTATGTTCTAAAGATGCTCTCAGGAGGCAACAGTGGTGGCAAAAGGGGAACATCAAACTCTGATATATGCTTAAACCTTGGAGCTCTTGAGCAAAAGCTGGGATACTTCTTTTAAGTAGCTGTGCTTTGCATAGATCTCCTTGGCATGTGTTTATTGTTATGCCTACTGGATCTTATTTTCTGGGAACACTCAGGTGAGCCACAGTGACTTGATGAGGGAGGTTGGCACCAGGCTGTTCAGAAGTGTTAGGACTGACTTGACCTCACTTAGTGACAACTCCCACAATGTTGACAATATCAAAGAGTTTGCAAGAAGCTTTGTAAGCAAAGGAACATGGAAGTCACAGAATATTTCGCAATCTACTCCTTAGTAATAAAGATTGAAACTCAAATCTGAATAATGTGAACTGTGAATTCAATTATATTCCTTTCATCCATGTATCTGAAAGATCACAATGCTTTTCTTACATAAAAGGGGCATCTTCGTGTAAGACCTAAGTACAAGACCCTCTGGCATCACTTTTGGTTGGACAATCCCAGCCTTGCTTGTGATTGCCCCTGGTCATTGCAGGGTGGTTGGACTAGATGACCTTTAAAGGTCCCTTCCAACCCAAACCATTCTATGTTTCTATAATTCTATGATTGCTGCCAGCACAAGAAAAACAAAGGATCCTTTGCAGGATGAATCTTCTGTATGCTGTCCACTAAACAAATATAACCAGAGGCACAGTCACTGATTCAGGGGCCTTATAGTCTAACAAATCATGCATAACCCTTTCCTGGAAACATCATTTCAGCTATTAAAAGTTTTGTATTCCAGCAAATGGACAATTAAGAACAGTAAACACATTTAACATTTACATAATGACACTTAGCAGCAGTAAGCAAGGGGAGTGTCTTAGACCAAGACCATATCCTTCACTAGGATAATCAGAACTGTTGGAAAATCTAAACAAGGTTCCAAGCACACCGGCTCTTCTCCAGGTTTAAAGCAGAATTCAAACATAGATAGAAGTTCACAATGATTGCTCAGACTTCAGTCTGAAAGATTAAAGGATTAAAAGACTAAGGAAAGGGTACTTGCCCCTTTTAAAGTTAAGTAGTTGTGATAGTAGACAGACCCTTGTTTGAATGCTGTTTCCCTGCAGACCAAGTTAGCACACTGACAGCACTTATGATGTGATCATGCTCAGTTTTAGCAGGTATAACACAGGTGTTCTTACAAAGGTCATGGAAGAAAGCAGCGACATCACACTCCACAGCTCGGAGCTGGGAGGAGGATGGTAACATCACCAGGCAGGCCAGGTAGCCTGTGTCCACCTCCGCCCCAACTGTCAAGTGCACTTGAGCAAATAAGGTATGGCAGGTGATCCGAAAGACTGGTGAGGAATACTGAGCTGATGAACTTTGTTATGGATTTGAAACAGCAATCTGGCTATTGATTTGTTCATTCCTACATTCAACACTTTTGCTCTGCTGTTGACATACTCTGTAACATCTCAGAGATCAGCTTAGATCATTCTTTTCTTATTCCTTCTCCTTCTACAGCCTTTGTATTTTTGTACTGCAAAGGTGGCGCCTACACAAAGCACAACACAATGCCCAGAAAGACAAACTCATTTGAATACCAGAAGCAATCAAGCTGTGTTAACATGGCATCCGACATGGCTCCTTTTGGCTTAAAGAAAGCATCAGAGCAATACCAGGCTAATGTGACTCTACTGCTTC